CTTGGAAAGATTACAGGTGGTAACCCCAGACCAAGACGAAGAACGTGCTGTTTCCGAAGAGTGTTCCACGATTTCCTCGTGGTCCGAGCCTTGTGTATCGACAACACCGAATCCGTTCAAAACGAGGTGAAAAGAACCAGGAAGCACGCGCATGTGCATGAGCTTTGACTAGGACCGGCCCGAACCGTTCGAGATGCGCCAACCCACGGGACTAATAAATTAAGAACATCCCGACCCGCACGTTCGGAAAAGGTGACACTCCTCTAGCTCCCCGTGTCAGTATTTGCGAATTGCTGTTGCCCTTATCGGCCCCCACCCTGACTGTCGAGATGAGAGCGAGTAGTCCGGGGGGGAGGCAATTGACCTGTGCGGATAAATTCTTGAGCCGGTGCACACTTGTCGAACGAACTCCAACCTTACCATATCCTGGAGAAGATAAGGCTCAGATTTGATTTCGTACCTCGTGTAAAGTCAGATCAGAATTGGAGGCTGGAAATCCATCACGATGTGGCAACCCAGTCGGCAGCTACGTACAGAGCGGTATAGAGATAGGTTCTTCAGCAGGCTTGGCCATTTCTCAGGCGCATACAATGGTGGAGATGTGCCCTGATGTGCCAAGATACCCTCCCGTCACGCCCACACCGACAAGGGATGGGAAGATGAATCGCGAGGAACTTCGCCAATAGGGGAAATGCTGAGGAGTGCTGAGGTCGGACTCTGGAGAGCGCTGGTGGAGCACGGAAAGATGCCGAAGCTCGTAAACGGCAACTCATCGGACGGACCGCCGGCTGTTTGTTTCAAGTGGACGTAAGTGCATCCTAGTATTGTGACGTGACGTGCTGATCTTCTTGCCTTCTTTGACGTGTTCCCTTCTTTGGCTGCCCTTCCTAGCGCCACGATCCTTCGTCATCGTCGCCACCAACAACGGTGGGCGTAGCTGAAGGAGCCAAGGATATGCCAGCGGTACATTGAAGTCACCTAATGAGCCAGGCTCGCCAAAGGAGCAGCTGGATCCCCGTATATATGAATAACTTTCACCCCACCTCTTGCCGGTAATAAGGCCGTTATTGCCGCACAAGCAAAAATGGAGAGAGACCTTCCCAGACGGAACAATGCTAGCGAGGATGTTGCCACGTGTCTTCCTTTCGTGCACAGGTATCGGATGCCTTGTCTTGCCTTGTCTCAGCGCGTCGTCGCCAATCTCTCCGAGTGGAAAGCCGTCCAGCGAACGCGCGCGATGTTGGCGCACAGCAACCCGCTCGAAATTAAGGATGACATGACACGAACAAGCGCAGTCCGAGTGAATTAATCACCTACCGCTCAGCCTTCTCTCGAAGTCCGGTTCCGTGAAGAAGGAAGTACATAAAGCTGCCTTCCATGGTGCCACCGTCCGTCGGAGTCCTTCCTTCCTTTAGTCTCTCCCCGTCGTACATCCCCCGGATTCAACTCCAGCTGTGCTCCCGTCATGGAGAGGGCATCCTACTCCAGCACTCTCGAGTGGCCCGACCACAATGAAAAGGGAGCGTCAATGGACGCTGTAGGGTCTTTTCATTCATTCTTGTGCCTTCGCCTGACATTACATGCTTGCTAGGATACTTTAGCCTCTGACATCCAGATTTTGAACTCGGATACCATTGAAGCCATGAAATATGCCAGGACGATGACCGCCGATGAGGTTGATGAGGTGGTCGATTACATCCTCGAGGAGGTAAAGCCTTTCGCCCGCACGGCGACCAGGCAATTACTAACATACCACGTAACAGCATGAAAACGACCCTGTCAGTACCATGGAATGCGTGGAAGCCTGGACCATCACTGAACGATTCCACAGAACTTCCCCCCTCGTGTGCTCGAAGCTTGCTGGCTGTACAAGTACGACGAGGAGTTGAGAAGCGACCCCACAGAATACCAGAGGGTTTACGAGGAGCTCAAGGTCGAGGTCGCCCTCTTCACGATCGTAAGCGCCAACTCAATTCTCGTACCGCAAGCCTGACTTCGATGCGATTCCCGTAGAACTCTCCATACGCAGAGGTCCGCGCTGTCGTCGATAACCACGATTACCCCGAGATGCCCGCCAGCACTTTCCGTTCTTGGTTTCTCGGCACCCTCTTCGTCATCATCGGTGGCTTCATCAACCAGTTCTTCAGCATCCGGTACCCTGGTATCAGCGTTGGTGCTAACGTCGCTCAGTTGCTGTGCGTTTCGCCCCCTCTAATCCCGTTCGAGTGACAGCTGACGGGCGATCGTGCCCAGTGCCTTCCCAGCCGGTAAATTCTTGGAGAAGGTCCTCCCAACTTGCGATTTTACCACCTTTGGGTACACTTGGAGCCTCAACCCTGGGGAATTTAATATGAAGGAGCAGACGGTGATCACTATCATGGCTAATGTCGGATTCTCTACCCCATACATCGCCTACGTGAGTCCTCCCGGCGGTCATATCTCCCTCGGACCCTTTTAATTTTCAATGGCAGGTCGTCTTTGTTCAGTACCTCCCCATTTACTTCAATCAACCCTGGGCCGGCAATTTCGGGTACCAGCGTGAGTCCGGCATGATGATTAAATCAGGGTTCCATCCCTCACCATGGCACTCTAGTCCTTCTCGCTCTTTCTACTAACTTTATCGGATACGGTCTCGCCGGTCTCACCAGGCGATTCCTCGTCTACCCTTCCTTCGCCATTTGGCCATCTAACTTGGCCACTATCGCGTTAAACGTAAGTGACCACATCCATCGGTGTCCCTGATTCCTCCCAACATCAAAACTGCCACAGCGTGCCTTCCACACCGAGACCAATCAAGTCGTAAACGGCTGGACCATCTCCAGAATGAGGTGGTTCATGTACTGCTTTCTTGCGATGTTCGTCTACTTTTGGTTCCCGAACTACATCGTCCAGGCACTGTCCTACTTCAACTGGATGACGTGGTTCGCCCCGGACAATGTCGACTTGGCTGCAATCACTGGCAGTATCGGTGGTCTTGGCCTCAACCCCATTCCCACCTGGGACTGGAATCAGTTCACTGTTACGGGAAACCCCCTGGTCAACCCCTTCTACAGCATATTCAACGGCTTCCTCGGTACGCTCCTCACGGCTCCAATAGTCCTCGCAATCTGGTACACCAACACCTGGAACACGGGTTACATCCCTATCAACAACAATCACGTCTGGGATAACACCGGTAGCCGCTATCAGGTGCTGAAGGTCGTCAACGAGGACTCCACGTTCAACGAGGCGGGTTACAAGGCTTACTCTCCGGCTTACCTTTCCGCTGGCAACGTCTTCGTCTACGGCGTGTTCTTTTCCCTTTACACTGCCACTATCACCCACACGATCCTTTACCACCGTCGTGAGATTTTCGCTGGCTTCAGGAGCTTGATCAGCCGCAAGTCTCCCTTTGCCGATAGCAGGGACATCCACACTCGCCTCATGAGGGGGTACCGTGAGGTTCCCGAGTATGTTTATCTTAGTGTTCTCGCCGTTTCGATTGCCTTGGGTGCCGCTAGCATCGGTGCTTTCCCAACCCACACCAGTCCCGCCGTCGTCTTGTATGGTGGTACGTGCTATTCCCTTCTGCTTCACATTCTGTCTCTCACAACGCCCACACAGTTTTCCTCGCCGTAATCTTCTGCATCCCTTGCGGTATCATCATGTCAATCACGAACGTCGAGATCACCTTGAACGTCATCGCCGAGCTGTTCGGTGGTCTCTGGTTCGCCGGCGACGCCAATTCTATGAACTATTTCAAGTCCTACGGTTACATCACGACTTCGCAAACCCTCCACTTTGCTCAGGACCTCAAACTCGCCCACTACGTCCACATCGCTCCGTGGATCACGTTCAATTGCCAGATGTGGGCAACTTTCGTCTCCACCCTCGTTTGCACGGCGATCTTCAACTACCAGATGACGCAGATTCCTGACGTCTGCTTGGCCACTCAGAAGGATCACTTCTCCTGCCCCGGAAACAACACGTTCTTTACCGCTTCCGTGCTTTGGGGTACTCTCGGTCCGAGGAAGATGTTCGGCCCTGGCGCCATCTATAACGGACTCCTGTGGTGCTTCCCCATCGGCGCCGCTCTACCCATTCCGTTTTACTACCTTCGCAAAAAGTTCAAGATATTCGCCTACTTCCACGTTCCGATTTTCTTGGTCGGTGGACTCATTTGGGCTCCGTTCAACATGGCGAACGTTTGGCCAGCCGTCCCTGTCGCGTACGTCTTCAACAACTATATCAGGAAGCGCTTCCTGGGCTGGTGGTCCAAGTATAATTAGTGAGCGACGTTTTCCACCCCCGCTCGCGAACGTGGCCGCTGATAAACCTTTACTTTTTAGCATCACCTCCTCGGCATTCTCCTGCGGCATCGCTGTCAGCGCCTTGGTCATGTTCTTCGCCCTGCAACAGCAGGATATCGAGCTCAACTGGAGTGGCAACTCCATCTCTTTCGCGGGCGTCGACGCCGCCGGTCCCATCCGCAAAACTTTGGCTCCCGGCGGGCATTTCGGCCCTGGTCCTGGCGAGTTTTGAATCGTGAGAGCGTGGCCCCCTCTCCTCCGGTTTATATATATACACGTGTTTATGGACGATTTTTGTGATCCTCCGCTGAGTCAATCGTTTAAAACCATTTTTGCTAATCGTTCGATGTTTATTACGCTGGATGTATGGATAAGACGAAACATCTTTGTGTTTATATAGAACCCCCCCCACTGTACATGTTCTCTTCGATAATAATACCACCCATCGCACACGACTTGGAGTAGTATGCCCGTGTGGCCGTATCGTTCTCATTGGAAATTATATAGGCAAACTGTATTCCGAAAGAGGAACTGATTTTGCTGATATAATCCATGCTGTTTGGACCCCCTAACCTAGAGCTCGCGAGGTGAGACAACTAACAGAAACACAAGATATTTGCACCACAATTTGGCCACTTAACGGCCCCTTGCTCACGGATTGTTGGTCGCAGGTTCTGTATATAGTGTATTAACCAGCACCCCTTTCATCAAGGCGCTGTGGCTGAGTGGTTAAAGCGACAGACTAGAATTCCATCTGAAAGGATTGGAGTACGGTATCTGTTCCGGTCTCCGGGCACAGGTTCGAATCCTGTCGGCGTCGTTTTTGTTTTGCTTACCTGCTTCTTTATCCTTTTGTCGCGGCCTGTTTTTACGCTGGAATTAAGCATGTGCTTCGCTTGCTCCGGAGGCCAGTCGACTGATTTGACGGATGTGACTTATGAACATGTCCCAACGTCCGAACCCTGGTGAGAATTTATTGGAAAACGGTGTACATGTGAAATGCGAAAGTCAGATGACAAGTGCTGTTAGTGTTCGGAATAACTTATTTACGCGACTAAACTTTGCAAAACAGGAGAACCCCTCGACCGACCAGGATAATGTAAGCGAAAATTGACAGAGGTGGGGGATGCTAAATCATACAAGCGAAACCTGACGAAGGAACAAAGAGCGAACATACCCGCAGAAAAGGAAGAAAGGAAAGGGCGGAGAGCAAGGCTCAGTGATTGGGGCCAGATGCATGAAGACGGAGAACTATGACATTGCGAGTGAGTTGATAGGACTGCGGATTATGAGCGTAGGTCATGCGTAGAGCAAGGATGAGGTAGGAAGGATCATATCGATCCCTTCGAAAACAAGATAGCGAAACACGGAAAAAGCAAGAGACAGAGAGGGAAACAATAATGAAAAAAGCGGGGCCCAAGCAAAACGGATATTACACAACTGTGCGAGTGTTGAATCGACAGTGAGGACGAGTGGACAGCTCCGAGTCGTCATGAGAAACCTCTGATTCCAAGAACCCTCCTAACATCACCAGTGAACCTCAACGAGTCCAGGACCGGGAGGAGTTCGAGGAGGGCCTCATCATGCGGATCGTGTGTCCATCCTTCGATTGGGATACCATTCGCTGTGGAGCGGACACCTTAGCACCTCGTGTACGTCTGGAGCATAGAATCTTCGTACCTTCGTTATAGTTATAGCTGATCGGAGAGTTATCAACCAGACAGACATTGGCCAAATCAGCTTCTACTATGGTAAGGTCTTTGGTATATGAGCCGTTGGGTAACTGAGTGCAAGACTAGCGCAAGCGGAAATTAGAAGTGATCACACGTGGTATGCTCCTGCGCAACTCACCTCGCGGAAGAAACGTTTATCTATGATGCCCCTTCCGGCGTCTAACCAATCTATGACGGGGTCCGCGTACTCCTGCATCGATGCAGTAAAAATCACGAGGGTGTACCAAGCTGAGACCTTCGCGGCAAGGTAAGCCGCGGGAACGTAAATGCGGGATAGTTCGGGCGTACCTTCCGCAGGAAATAATCGACGAACGGACGTTTGTAAACATGGTACGTTGTGCATTTACCGCCAAGTACGACTTCGACGGTGTGAGAATTGCCCAGAGAGCCTCTCCGAAAGGCCTTGAGGCCGAAGAGACTTGAGGGGGAATGAGAAAAGTTGTGCAATGGTCGAGAAGTGGAGTGAATTAGCGTCTCATCAAGATCGAGAACCAAGGTCTTCTGTGAATGAAGCCCTATTGGTCGGTGTGGCCGGTGTAAAATTGGGGGTGGCGTCGGTGTTAACCTGGTCGAACTGGAAGGCTCCTTTACCGGGGTTCTGATCAGCTTATCGATAACGGTGGTTGTAGAGAGCAGTAATATTGATTCTTGGTGCATGTCTTGGACCTCGTGCAGGAAAAGACCAGGTTGGCGTTTCCGAGGGATGATGATACCTTCCTCGCCACTGTCGTCGTCCGAATCAATGCCACATTGGGATCTCACCACCTCCTGAGGAGCGTGCTCCGATTCCACCTCGATTTCTGGTTCCGGAACATGGTGTCTACCCCGGATCGACAAAGATCTCCAGGCGTTCCGTACAAGGGTCCACAAGGCGAACAACACACGCACGAATGCGAGCTGGCTAATAAGGTCCGGGGAGAATCTCGGGTGTATGTGTAGAGGGGTGGACGGGGACATTGGGGATTGTGATGAGGGGACGCAAGGTCCGACAGGCGTCTGTTCGGTTGGGGATTGGGGCGTCGGGATTGGGATTGCGGACGATGCGGAGGTGTCGAGGAAATGGGAAGTGGCAGATCTTCTGCGCAACTGACGGGGTGACGGACGAGTGGAATGAGGAGAGGATGGAAGAGAAGCCCTGCGGGGAGAATTCTGGGAAGGACCTAGCGACGAGGCTGAACGGGGGCGTGTTGGAGAGGAAGATGCGGCGAGGGAAGAGAAGGATGCGACGATTGCGTCGAACTGTCGAGATAGATAAGACAAGGAATTCATCTTTGTAGAGAGATGGGTGTTAAGGGAAGGACGAGGAACGTGCGATAGGTTCAAGTGGAGGTGGCTGAAGGGTGTTGCCAGTAAACGTGATTGGTTTCAGCGCTGATCGATCCCGTTGATGTAACCCTTCCGTGTCCCCAACGTGTCTCTTATCCAAATGCATACTTACAGCAACAAAACGCGTATTACACGAGAGAAAGATAAATAAATAATCATTGGGAACGGCAAGTAACGACGCCGACGACCCGAAGCAGCCTGTCGGTGCTCAAGCCATAGATTGGTCGTTTTATTCCTACTCGAGCATGTAGTCGATCACCAGCATGCAGACCATTTCAAAGATCCTCGTGAGTCTCATCGTCATCGCCCATCAGGCCAAGTCGCGACCAGTCTATTGCCTTGTGTCAATGTTCCGGTCTTCCCGGGGCCACACGATGGACACATTGGCCGCCGTTGCAGCTAACGTATAGGTGGCGGATGTGGGTTCCGGTCACCGCGCACTGCCATTTGCCGTAAACTGTGAGAAATCTTTTCCCCAACGGTGGGCGGTCGTGATGTCAGGGCGGACGGACTCAAGGCGCAAGGGGTGTCATGTAAATGAAGCGGCGATTGTTAGAACCGACGCGGCCCGGTGGCCGTCGAGGGTTGTCCGGTGACCGTGCGGCACCCGCACCGTGAACGCTTTCGAAACCCGACCTGGCCCGACACGTACATTGGTCCGCGGATTGTTGCCTCCGGCGATCTCCTCTCGCTGGAAGTGGCGCTCCAATACTCTTCTCCCTGGCGGAACTACGAACGGCGCCTGAAGATCGCTGGCGCATGGTATCACCTTTATATCTCCGCACCCTTTGGCCAATGGATCCCTGACGATCCGCAAAATCCAATGTTACCGTCTTGAGAAGAGGCGCCGGTTTGGAAAGTCGTACCGCGGTCTCATGGAGGTCTGACCCGTTATCGATTAAAAGGGTTGACCCTGAAATCCGTTCTATGTGGGGAATAAGGAGTTGGGAGGCATGTGCGCGTATGTGAACGGCGACCGGGATCGTTGGAAATAGGCGTATGGATTGGTGATGTTTCGGCCAAGGTAGACTATCTTGTTCCAGAGACTGGGAGTGGATACAAGCGTCCTACGCCAGTATTTGCAGACCGCTGTCGCGTTTATGAGAACTTTTTCTGACTCTCGGAAAGTTGGGATTAGGGCAAGAATTTCTGGAGGGAGGCAGTTGATGGGCGCAAGCGAAGTTTTGTCGAGATAGACGACAGCTTGAGCATTAACTGGCCAATCTAGATGAAATAATTCTTGAAACAGGGCTTAACATGCCGCATTCGTACCTCCTCACGCAAAATGGGGTCAGGACTGGAAGCTCGAAAATCAGCACGATGCGGCGCAGCTCGACAGCTACTAAAGCTTACCAAGGTCGACCCATCATTATCACGTTTAGTCGTCCTTCAAGCGCGTACACCAACTGAGAAAGAGATAGCTCGGCGACTGGATGCTCCTCCATGTTTCCTCCGACGACAAGGATTGACAAAGAGTTGTTGGCCGAAATGATAGCGGGAGGACCTTTGGTGGTGCAAAGTCAACAGAGGTGGTATCGTTAAGCCCGACCGTCTGCACGGTGGTGACTTCTAAGCGCGTAAAGAACAGTTGCAGGGTGACCAGGGCGTGGGAATTCAGCACCATCCTGGATCTCCGCCCATTCTTTTTCTCGATCATCCCGCGGCGGCAGGGTCTGCAGATGACAAGCTCAATCAACGACCCTTTCCTCCTGGCATCCTACTCCATCTCTAAGCGTCTTTTGAACTTGAAATCGTCGAAAAACTCCGAGGCAGACCCGTCGACCAACGTCCACGTGACCTACACAGACTCCAAATCCGACGGATACGCAACTGCCACGGTTCAGGGAGACGGAATTCATCTCTTAGACGTACGTACGTCTCGTCGCTGATAAATTGCGCGTAGTCGGAGGTTTGGTGGTGACGTTTGCTAAAGGTTCGTTCTCCGATGTAGATTTCCTCGCTTCATCCAGTGCTCTCCCATACATTGGGTCCATCCACAACCTTCACTTGTCCCGCCACCTCAAAAATACTAGAGGTCGATGGGAAGAAATATTGTGACACTCTAGTTGCTGTGAAAGATGCTCCAGATGTCTCCGTGGAGGATGCAGGCCGTACAATTTGGAGACTCCGTACACTGTTTGAAGGAGGCCTGGGGTCCGGACTATTTGACAAGACAAGCGTCAAGGTACGGTTTTGTGCCGAAAGCTTTTTCATCCGGCTCACAGGGTTTCAAATAGGTACCTCATCCCATTGCAAACATCCATGTCTATCCCACACAGGCCATCGCAGTGTCCAAACGGGGAGACATCATCACACTGAACAACCACCTGAACATTTCCAGTGAGCTTTGCCGTGATGACGAAGAGGACCAGTTTCTGCGATCCTTCTCTTACTCGAGAGCCAGATGTACTTTCTTGCCACACGAAATTCCAATTCTCGGCGAAATTCTTGTACTGTTCTTGGCTCGAAGAGATGCGATCCGCCTGCGTGTCCTGCATCTGGACCAAGGAAATAGAGTTATTCCGATAGTCTCAGTTGAGCTTGATAGCAAAGTAAGTTGTGTTTAGCCAGAGGAGGTCACAGTTCCAAAGCTTTACAGGCAGTAACAGATATCACATTCAGTGAGTCTGGAGACATCAGTCTACTGTGTATGATTTGTTCGTTATTGCTGAGTGTGGCGCGCGCTGATCATTTTATTCAGCCTCATCTGGCCTCTGGAAAACCTATCAGTTGAAAAAGGATGCTTCTGGTTGGGATGCAG